TGTAGAACCAGTGGTTAGCCCATCTGTTATTTTTTACAGGTAAAGACCCCTCCTTCACTCCCTCACCACCTTGCTCAGAAGTTTCCAATTTTTTCGGGCTGTTTTTTTCGGCGTTGCTATCTCTCGTGTTCAACATCCGTTCTGGAAATAGCTTCTGTGTTCTCTCTATCTACAGAACGACACGCGCGCTTGTACTCACACCTGGAAAACACATTCTTGTCGAAATTCTGGTCCCCCCTTTTTACTCTTTCGTTCTCCCCCCCCTCTCCTCCTCGCTCCTCCTCCTCCTCCTCCTCCTTGTTCTTCTTCTCTCTCTTTCGTTCTCTCTCTTTCCTTTCTCTGTTTTTTCCACCCCTCAACCTCACCTCTCACCCACGCACCTGTATCTCTTCCACCACCAATTTCAATAAACTCCAAATATTTCTCCACTCTTCCACACCGATACGAGCACTCGTGTTTTGTCGAGGTATGCGCCCGAGCGCCTCTCGAGGGCCAGCTTTGTTCCCATAGCTCGTCATATCTTATCTGCAGCTCGTGATCCTGGGCAGAATTGAGGCACAAACTCTGCATGTACCTCGAGGAGAATAAAGTGGTACTAAATCAAGAGGCTTCTGGCGGAGATTTGCTTGGGACGAGAGATTTTCCTCGCCTTTGACAGACGAAATGGGATATAGGTGGCTCCATAGTTCTCGGTGATTTATGATTTGTTGGTTTTTGTTTCGAATTCCGTGTTTGAGACGTCACGTCGACAGACCGATTAGATATGTCCAGGGCCACCCAAAGTCTGATGAACGATGTTAGAATAAAGTAGCGAGGCTTAGACAGTCATGGTAGCAGCAGAAGCTTTTCTACAGACTTTACACCAGTGCTTTTCAAACTTTTTATAACCAGTACCCACTTTTGTCCGTTGTAGTAGGCTGAAATTTTCATACCGCCTACCTACAAGAGCATATAAATGTCTTTCCAAGCGAGGCATTAAATGATACCTGTAACTACTTAGGTTGGCCCATCGCCCACAAAAATCACCAAAATGCCCAACCAGTGGGCGATATCGTCCAGTTTGGCGAGCACTACTCCACACGATACTGCTTTTATGGGTAGTACTTTTCCAAGTGACGATCACATATTATCGAGTCAGAGGCTTAGATGAAGAAAAAAATAGGAACAGTACATTACATTCAAAAGAAATACGACTGCACATCATCTTTGGCAGCTTAAACACAAAAACAACAGCAACAACGACAAAATCGCAGGAACTCCATCAACATCGACTTTGAGGATGTCAGTTATGACAACGACAACGAAGACAACGACAACAACAATAACGGTCTCAACGAAAACCCCTGATGATCACTTTCATAATATTTGCCAAAAAAATAACGACGATAATAACGTTGACAAAAAATAGACGACGATAATACATATTATTATGTTAACGAAATACAGACGACAATAGTAGACGACGATAGTAATGTTAACAAAACACAGACGACCAGAAAGGCCCGGACCACCACCGTACCGTCGTCCACTCACTCTCGTCACTTACACCTTCCCCGACAACGTCAAGTGTTTTCCCCGCTACCACCACTCCTCTCACTCCTCTTAGCCCCAGCTCTACACACCTAATACTTGATTATGCATAAACCGGCGCGCCATCCGCGGGCTCCAGGAGACCGGTCTAATATTTACCCCGGTGCTAGCCTTGTGTTCCCTGGTGCCGCTGACCGGCGCTACTGGACTGATCACTGACCGGATCGCGGCCTCTGTGACATCGATCCCAGTTGTCTGGTGGACTTTACAAACGTTGCGGTCGCTTTGGCGGGCCTGGAGAGAAGCTCGACGTCACACCTTTTGAAGAGCGAGTTTTGTGAATTTGCTCAGCTTTTTTTCACGGCGTGTTTGGTAGAGTGAGGTGGTTTGAACGAGGGTGGACACACACATGCATGCATACATACACTATGACACACACACACACACACA